CAAACACCAACGGGCATTAATTGAACCCATGTATTATGCCTGGACCAACATTCCCTCCACTCCTTAGCCCCAGGGAATTGCTCTTTGTTGTTGCTGTATGTTTCATTTTCTTGCCCCTTTTCATCTTCTACTGTGTCCTTCCAAGATTCTCGGCTTCAGATTCCAAACTCTTATGGAAAGCATATGTCTTGAGGAACATACTGTGCCATGAGTTCCAGAGCTAGTTGTATTTCTGTCCCAGGATTAAGTGAGAAACAACAGTTGCTTGTGGGGCTGAGAGGCTTCTCAGGGTCTGGTTACTCAGAAAGCAATGCAGAGCACAGAGAGTGGTTCTGAAACGTGTCTAAGCAGAGACCATTACAAAAAACTACAACCCCTCAAAATGCAGAGAACAAGTGACCATGCAGTGCCCCACCCCAGCTGATATGTCTACAACACAACTCCTCCTCCTAAGGCTCAGAGAGCACTAGGGAAGACAGGATGAAAAGATTGTAAGAGCCAAAGGAACAAGAAGTCAGAAATGTCAGAGAGGCTACATTCATGAAGTCTCCAGAATGCCTGCCTTGGCAGGATGGCACAGTCATTGTCGGTGTTCTATTGCTGTGAAGAGACACCATTGACCACAGCAAGTCGTATAAAGGAAAATGTTTAATTGAGGCTCACTTACGGTTTCAGAGGTTCAGTCCATTATCATCATGGTAGAACATGGCAGCGTGCAGGCAGACATGATTCTGAAGAAGGAGCTGAGAGTTTTACATCCTGATCCACACGCAGTAGGAGACTGTACCACACTGGGCATAGCTTGAGCAAAAGAGACCTCAAAGCCCACCCCCATGGTGACACACTTCCTCCATCAAGACCATACCTCCTACTAGTGCCTCTTCCTATGGACCAAGCTTTCAAATGGGAGCCACCACAGGCACCATACACATGCTAATGTGGAGGAGGGAAATCTCATGGGATCTAATCCCAGGCGAGGCAAAAAACACAGCAACTAAGAATGCTGGGGGGTGGGGGGGAGAAAGACTCTTCCCAGGGAAGAGTCCTCCATCTCATTATCTAAGCAGGCTATATTTATATGTTTAGGAATACATTAATTTGAGAGACAGAAAAAGGGGTACATGGGATGGATTGGAAGAAGGAAAGGGAAGGAGGAACATTTTAAAAATGTATTTTAAAACTAAAGTCTCAAGTCAGGCAGTGGTGACACACACCTTTAATCCCAGCACTCGGGAGACAAAGGCAAGCAGATCTCTGTGAATTTGAGGCCAGCCTGGTCTACAGAGCAAGTTCTAGAATAGCCAGGGCTGCACAGAGAAACCCTATCTCAAAAATAAAAATTAAATTAAATTAAAATTTAAAAATCTCTAAGAAAACAAGGGAAAATAAAGTAAGAAAAAGGATGTCAGCTTATACATCCTATACATTTACTCACTTTCTTAAAATTCTGCATTATTTGTGTGCTTTTGATACGTGGGAGTGAGGCACATGCTACAACATATATATGGAGGTCTCTGCTTCTACCTTTTGTGGACTCCAGAGATCAAGCCCAGTTTGCTAGGATTGTGTGGCAAGCGCCTTTATCCATAATCCACAAAGCCATCTCACCAGCCCCCTTTACCTCTTTTATCCACATAACACTTACCAAAAGCTCACCATGTAAAACATACTGTGCTCAACACCAAAAATGCCAAGGTCAAGATGCTCAAGAGTCAGAAGAGAAGGCGACTATGGTGGAACTGCAATCTGATTTGCCAAGGTCAAGATGGAAGAGCTTAACAGACAGCAACCAAGGGACAAGAGTAGGAGGAGAGCCAGGGGAAGGAATGCCTTTAAGAAATCATGAAAGGGGGCAGCAAAGGGGAGGTGAGGATCTCCCCACAGAAGAAAATAATGCAGCTTAAGACAGCATGATGCAGGCAACACTTGGGAACCACAATGTCATGACACTGACATAGGACAAAGCCCATTTCTCAGGCAAAACCTGGAAAAAGCCCAGGTATTTAGATGAGCAAAGAAAAAGTGTCATGCAGAGTATTAGAATGGCAATCCAGTGATGGAGGGCGGGGCTTGAGAGGGTTTCAAGTACTGGTTTTCCATTTTTCTGTGTGGATTGCATAGGACTGCTGACTTTGTAAAAATAAACTGAGTAGGACTCCTGGGATAAACCCACCTTGCGGTGTTTGTTTTCAGTAAAATGTCATGCATTCAACAAAATACCCAAATGGTGGGGGGAAAGAAAAACAGAAAAGCATACATTTGGTCATGGTACAAATCATCATAAATGGCTCCAGGAAATGCTGTATTTATGGGAGATGAACTGGAGACATAAAACAGACAGTCTTACATTCTGGGGTTGGGAGATTGCATTGATCCTGAAGAGACTGAGGTGTGCAGGGACTGAGCATCTGTTGGAACTGGGTGGCCCCTGGCACCACACTTCCTCATCCTCCATGTCCACTGTGTTTGTCTTCTAAGGGCTTTTGAGAATTAACAAGGACAACACACACAGGTGTGTTATGCAGCACTTGCTATAGTTGGTACTAAATAGTGGTATTTCAGAATGCTTACGAAGCCAGGGCTAGAGGGGTGGCTTGGTGGTTAAGAGCACATACTGCTCTTGTAGAAGACTAGAGTTTGATTCCCAGCATCCATGTTGGGTAAAAACCATAACTCCAGGAGATCCATTGCCTCTGGCCTCCGTAGAAACTTGATCTCATGTACACAGACACACACATACACATAATTTTTAAAATAATAAAAAGTCTTTTAAAAAATACAAAAGATTATAAGGTAAGAGTAAGAAGAATAAATGGGGAATGACAATACCAGAGATAGGAGACAAAGTAGAATGATGTTACAGTGATCCACAGTAGTGCAAAAATGGGGGTGTCAAGGAGATGTCAGCTACATCCAAGGGCACAATAGACACAACTTGATCTAGATTAGTGGTTTTCAACCTGTGGGTCATGACCCCTTTGGGGGACCACATATTGGCTATTCTGCATGCCAAATATTTACATTACAATTCATAACAGTAACAAAATTACAGTTATGAAGTAGCAAGATCATTTTATGGTTGGGGTCACAACATGAGGAACTGTATTAAAGGGTGGCAGCATTAGGAAGGTTGAGAACCACTGATCTTGAGAATGAAAGAGGCGATGGAGGTTAACAGGACTCTGGTGTGTGACCCAGGCAATTGTATTCTCAGTAACTCAATAGAACAGAATTAAAGGAACATGGAGCCCATTGAATCAGGGGACCTGGGGTAATCCAGGAGGTGATATCCAGAGAACTCAGTGTGGGAAATATGTGCAGATGAGAAGTTCCTTTAGGGACAATGGATTGAGTGAGAAGAGCAAGGGATCATGGGCAGAACCTCAGAGCTATCCGTATTTAAAGCAGCAGACCAAGAGCAAGAACTGATGAAGACCTCTGAGAGTAAGTGACAAAAGTGAAGGAACAACCAACAGAATGTCATCACAGTAATCAACTGTGATGTTATTAACTGGCAGTTGCCATAAAACATCCTGTTAGATAAATATCAAAAAGTGTCCATGACTCCTAACACTATCTATAATAGCCATTAGTGGCTTATGCAAGTGACCCCAGCAATTTCAGGAGATCTTGGGCTAGCAGCGAGGTTTCTAAAAGCATGTGTGGATTAAAGGAGAACAATGAAGAAACACAGTGGAGATCAGTGGAAGGTTCAGAGGCTAAGCTGGAGGCCAGGGAGGCACGCAGGCCTCCTGAGCTTTGTAACTTACACCAGTATTCACCAGTACTTACCTTGGAGACCCTTTAGTGTTTCCTCCTTCCTTCTTCCTTTCCTTCTCCTCTCCCTTTTTCTGTCACTTATTCTCTCCTTTCACCTCTTCCTTCCTTCTAGGCTTCCTCATGGCCCACCAGCCTAGCCTGCTGCTTTTTGGACCCTTATAATCCAAGACCCTTAGATGGTTTGTGCATCTGTGGTTGGAAACAGTCACTCTGTTATTGCCCTATCTTGCTGAAGAAGCCCATGGCTTCACCTCACCCATGTCTTCAATGGCCATTCAGACAGCTGACAGCACCTTCCTTGGCAGTGCCATGTGTGCTTGTTTAGTCCTGGCTGGGTCTTGGCCTGCTGCATATGGCTGCTTACTGCTCATCTGTAGAGCTTGGCCCATGTCATTTGTCCTGATCACTTCCCCAGAAAACAGTTGCCTGACACACACTGCCTTCAGGAACCCTGTCTTAGTCTCTTAATGTCTTCATCACTTACTCAGTTTGTGGGTCGTTTTGCATTTCCCAAGAGTGCTTGCCATTCTAGTATATAATAATACTTTGTCTTATGGGTAAAGTTGCAAAAACCAGGAAGAAAGAGTCTCTAGTAGTTAATGTGGCATTCATACAGAGCGGGTCCTCTGCTATGGCTGCCTTGATGAAGTATCTGGCTCGAAATCATGCCAGACTGTGATGCTCATGAAGGTGACCTATACACCTATCTATATATTTGTCTATATCTCTGTGAACACCCATCCTGTCTCCTGAACTGACTCGGTTCATCCCTCAGACAGTGACAGAACACCAATTCTGTGCTTTAAAACGGTAAGTGAAACAGTCAACAGAGATCTAGGCAGGCATGCCTGCCCTGGTAGAGTCTACCTTAGTAGAGGAGATACAATAAAGAAATGCATAAAGGCCATAATGGCAACTGTGGCAACACTGTGGGACAAAGAAGGACAAGTGTGCACCTGAACACAGATAAGTAACAAGGTATCCTTCAGTCCTTCTCTTATTTAATGGTGCCAGCACCCTTAACTCTCCTTTCCATAAAGTCTTTATACAGGGTGTACTAAGGTGCCATGTTGTACATTTTCCTAGCCAGTGGGGTCATGAAGCATTAGCACATCTAGCTGCTAATAAACCACTGTCGCTCCAAGGTTCCTCTGTGCCACCCACAGGAGGAAAGCAGTAGCTATTGCTGCTGTCTGATGTGATGTTGTTCTGTTTTGCAGGTGAGCCGGCCCCATCCCAGTGACCATCCCCTCTTGATCCTCTTTGTTGTGGGTGGCATCACAGTCTCTGAAGCCAAAATGGTCAAAGACCTTGTGGCATCTCTGAAGACAGGAACCCAGGTACTGAGTCATGGGTGACACCAGCAGGAGTCCAGGGGCAGCAATGGGAGGGGTGGCAAGGGCCTCATTGTTCCTCTTCTGGCTTACTCTCTTCTCCACCCACTTCTTCTTCCTACATCCTATGACCCATCATGTTCTCCTTCCCCAGAGTCATCCTCCTGGCCAGACCAACCCCACTCACACCTCCCCGAGAAGGTTTGTTTTTTCTCTTTTGGTTAAAGACCTACCACTTTGGCAAAGTCCATCATAACCAGCTAAATTCTCACACCACGCAAAGGGATCCCTGTTGTTTACTGAATAAATGGTGCCAATCAGGAAATAAAGAAAGTGTGGGTCCAGAAGCAGGGCAAGGCTGTAACCCTCAAAACCCTGTAACCTCCAGTCCCCAGCATCCTCCAGCCCACAGCATCCCATGTCCTCCAGCTAGCCCCACATGCTGAACATTCTACAACCTCCCAAACAGAGCTTCCAGCTGAGGTAACACTGAGGGACTCCAGAGACCCCATCCCATCTGTGGTAGTTACAGGAAAAGAGTGTTTCTAAGTGCTTCAAGACTCCATCGAGACACCAGCTAATACTAAAGACTGTCCCACAGCACATAAAACAGCTTTGTGGGGATGGTAGCATTCTAGCCCAGGCTGGCCTACCTGGGTGGTGATGTGGCTCCCTCCTGATTCCACGCGCTCGAGGTATCCACACAGCCAATGTTCTCTCCTTCTGTGACATCCTGCAGTTGCTCCAGACACCTCCTGAGTCTGTGCTGGCATTCCAGCCCACGCTATGCAGCAAAGTTCTTGACTGTTGACTGACTACTCCATATTTGCCAGCATAGTCTCTGCCACTGCTCCTTGAAGACAGAGTCTGGCCAAGGCTTGAGTGTGTGACAGCTCAGTAAGCCTGGGTTTTGGTGGGTATCTTGAATTTGTTAGAAACAGTCTGTGGTGGTGAGTGCCGGAGCCTACTGGTGAAATCAAGAAGACCCAATATCTCTTTATATTCCTACTCACAACTAGGAGAGGGAAGCTGGGTATTTAGGGAACAGCTCAGGTCTGGGAATGGCCAGTCATTGTCTGTGACCCTTTCTGCTATTATCACCTATTATCATCAGAGCTGGGGAAATTTCTGGAAAACGAATTGTTCTAGCTCCCTCTTGTTCCCTATGCCAGCAGAGGTCTACTGAGACTTTTTTTTTTTTTTCCAAATAGGCAAGCACCTTCTTGCTGTCCCTAACATGGGAACCACATCCTAATTCCTTAGAATAACTGTGCATTGGGACAGCCTACCAGACACTGTAATTCATTCTCTAAAAGGATGGAGTACAGATGCTTTCAAAGTCCAGGGACAGTATGCTGGCAAAGGCCAGAATCAGCAGTGGCTTTGCCAGTCTGGCCCTGTACCCACTGTCTGCAGATAGAGAGAGCATCTCAGAGTGTTGCAGGCTTAAGGAACAGGCTTGACCACTTCTTGTCCTTTGTGTAAAAACTCCCTGAGGCGTCATCAGGCCTAAGAGGATTCTCATAGCAGAGGGAAAAGCCTGGATGACTACTCACCCATTGCCTTTTGTCCCTAAGCTTGTGAAAGTAGGGAGTGTCACTATAGTGACATTCTCTGGGGCCTACAGCCCTCCCCTTCACCTGGCGGGTGGCTACCCTAGCCTACAGCTAATAGAAAGCTCAGTTTCCCAATTTTAGAAGCACTCTGGAAATCAGGCCTTGCTATGAGCTGTATCTACAATGGTATGTGCATCAGTTCCGTTCTCAACTTATGCTCACACTGCTGTTGGGAATATGTGAACCCCGCTGAAGGAGCAGATTCCATAGAAGCAATGTACCAGGAGGCTGTCAAAGGCACAGCTGACCTGACTGTGTGTGACTAGTGCCCATCTCCACAATGAAAGAAAGTCTTCACCATCTCAATCCAGGGACAGTTGATGAGAGAAAATATTCAAGTCTTTCCTTGGCTTGACTAAGGAGAGAAACTCTCCCAACCCACCCTAAACAGGTACAAGACCAAGTCAGAAGTCTCCTGAGGTTCCTTCCTCAAGTGCTTGTGCCAGGTGCCAGCCTTGTCCCCTCACTCTGCTATGCGGCATGGGGCCCTGTGGCCAGATGCTCTAGCCAGCTGAGCTCTGGGGCTACTGAATGGTGGCCACGAGGCCCACAGAAGCCTTTGATTATAAGAAGACAGTAACAGTGAGGTATCCTCACAGAAAACAGCCAGGTCAGGTAAAGAAAGAGAGGCCAAGCATGGGAGCTAGACAGCTCTCAACTGCTTTCCCCAATAGGTGTGGACGCCATGCCTCCACGAACTACCATACATCTGAAGCACAGTGTTGATGAGAATCAAGCATTTAAAAACAAAACCTAAATCTAGAAATCTGGCTATACACAATTCTGCATACATGTCTGGGGTTCAGGATCACCTAGGTACTGGCCTGCTCCAAATCATTGTAAAATTGACAGGGAACTGCAACAAGGCTGACATTAACAAGATCTGTGACATTAACAAAAACACCCACACAAGAAGGGATGAAACCCAAGGATGATCTGGACTGTCATGGTACAGGCTCTACAGGAGAGCTGACCCCCAGCCCTGATGTCTTGACCAGGTAGACAGCAGCCCCAGTGGATCACAGGGCTTCTGAAAAGGATAGTTGTCACCCTGGATTAACCACTGAACATGTTATGTTCCGGCACCAGTGAGTGGATGTGTACCCATGTGTACAGTATAGCACAGGTACAAGCAGGGTTAGATCACACCTCCAATGTCTGTGTGTACAAAAACCATAGCTGCTGATGGATGGATGAAGGGCCATGTGGGCACCTGCTCTGTGTGCTCATTTTGGGGGAGGAAATCAGGTTTAGAAGAAAGAGAATGAAAAAATTGATGTCTGCTCTTTTGATTCTTGGTATTAGAAACCAGAGGGCTCTGAAACCCAAATCCTCGATTTTACTGCCACGTCTGCATTCAGCAGAAACAGAACAGACGGTGTTGACACCTGCAAATCACAGTGTGGCTGGTGAAGAGGAATGTCAGCCAGCAGGCCTCCCAGGGCTAGGCCTTCCCAGCTGAGTGCAGAACGTGCCAAGCAGAGGGCTGCTGGAAGGGCTTGGCGCCTTGACTTTGGGGACACTAAGGTCATCCGTGCTGTCTCATTGTTGGCTGGCATGTGAGCAAGTCCCATCTTTGGACAGACCATGTTAGACCCTCCACCATTAGCCATATTTGCTAATGTCAGATCACAATTGCCTGTGGCTCTGCTGTGACTTGGGCTCTTCATAGACCATTGCTTTGTCTCTGCTAAATGCCATTTCTCTGTTAGACTGTGAGACCCATGGACAGTCAGCAGTGACTCTCTCTGAGTGGGTGGTTTTTGTAGGAGGTGTTCTGCTCAGTGACAGTGCACAATGCAGGTGGGGTGTCCCAGGCTGTACCTTGTGTCCTGGTGAAGAAGCTCTTACTTCTTCACCGGACATGGCAAGTGACAGATGAAGATGGGGCAGTCAGGAGCTGAGGAGTCAGGGTAAAACGCTGTTCAAATTTGAATGATGCCAGGCCTGAGCTGAGAGAGGGAAAAGCAACAATAACCAAAAGAAGAATTAAGAGGACAGAAGGAGAGCTGAAGAGAAAAGGAAAGGAAGCTGCAGCTCGGGAGAAAGAGACCAGAAATGCAGAGAACAAGGACCCTTTGTGAGCAAGGAGCGAGGTTGTCCCTGAAGTTTGTCTGTTGCCCAGGTCTGCTGTGAAAAGCCAGCTCTCTGGAAGGTATTCTCCAACGTCAAATCAACCTCCATACTGGCTGTATTTAAAGCATTTACATTTCATCTGATAGGCTAGTTTCAAGCCCTTCTCTCTCTTTTTTTCCTGCCATTTGTAGCCAAGTTTTTAGAATGACCATTTTAACCAAATAATGCAGACACAGTCTTGTGTGAATTAACTTGGAAAAAAAACAGCAAATGCTCTTGTCAAAAATGCCAAGGATATAAAAATGCTGATTATGGGCTAGAAAAATGTCCCAGCAGTTAAGAGCACTTGTTGTTGTAGAGGACACCAATTCAATTCCCAGAACTCACATGGCAGCTCACAACCATCTGTAACTCCAAGAGCAGCAGGTGTACACCTCTCTCTCTCTCTCTCTCTCTCTCTCTCTCTCTCTCTCTCTCTCTCTCTCTCTCTCTCTCTCTCTCTCTCTCTCTCTCTCTCTCTCTCTCTCTCTCTCTCTCTCTCTCTCTCACACACACACACACACACACACAAATGCAAAACACTCATACACAGAAACGAAAAAAAAATGTTTTAGATGCTTAAGGATGGTATCCTGGTAAGTTGTAACCCTGGAGGTGTAACTCGGTTGTAAACAGCAGCCTCAGATGGTAGGTTTCACTGAACTGATACAGAGTAAATATAGGCAGTCATTTGACCAGTCTCATCTGAGGCCTTCCTAAATGAAACGCTTCCCACTGTCCAGGGCTGAATCCCTTGCCTCCTTCACTGTGCACCTATTCTGCCATGCAGTTCTTTTGCTCAGTTATTTATGAACTCACTATTGTAAGCCCTGCTCTGCACCAGGCACTGTGCTAAAGAAACAATGGGAAATGACAATAAGACAAAAAGCCACAGGGCACACTCAGGCTGGAGGCAGAGACATCTTAGCAGATAGAAAAGCCACAGAAAGAGTCAGAGATTGTGCCCAGATAAAGGAACAACTCCAAAGAGCCAGTTGTGAAGCTGCAGATACTTGAGGGTAGCTGACACATGGGACTGACCATAAAGAGCTATGGAGGAAAGAGATGATGAGAATCCAGCGGGAAGCAGACTCTGAGGCCTAGGGGCAGGGCTTACCAAACAGCGGTGAGAAGAGAGTGCGGGTTTGAATCCTATGAGTAACAGATTTACACCAACACCAAAAGAGTACACTCTGGCAGCTCACCTCTCCTTCATAACTTAAGGGCTGCAGTGAGCTGCAAGGAGGGAAGGCAGGAGAGGGAGCAAATGACAGCAGCCACCACCAGAAACCCCTCTGGAGCCTGCATTGTGCTAAATGTTCTGCAGGGTTCATTGGGACAGACGGTGTTAGCCATGCCCTAAAGGTGAGGGAAATGGGACTTGGTGTGATTAAGTAACTGCTCCTTGGGTAAGCAGCCTTAGCTGGGGTCCACTCAAACTGGACACACCTGAGCCTGTGCTCTCCATCACAGAGCAGCGCTCGAAGTCCTTGGACTCAGCCCTGCTTTCTCCCTTCCTCTCAGGCCCCCTAACCTACTTCACGAACTGCTTCTGTTTCCTGTTGCTTGTCTCCACCTGATGCAGAGCAGGCACCAGATGCCCTGCTTGTTTGGATGAGAGGGGTCTGATCTTTGTGTTCGCACTCAGAGAAAACCAATCCAGACTCTGTCAGCCATGGCTGTGAGCCCAGCACAGGCCTGAGCAGGACAGGTAATTTAGGCTCCATTTGCTGCTCTCAGTGTGGCCTTATTCCACCAGCTTTAGACTGGGTTGAGGACTATGGAGGCTGGCAGTATGGCAGGGACTGGCAAGTCATGGGAATGGAGTTTATTAACAGCTACTGGTCTCTTCTGCTTCACGGGGGTCTGCATCCAGAGGCTGTGTGTGTGTGTGTGTGTGTGTGTGTGTGTGTGTGTGTGTGTGTGGTCATGTAAAAGCCATAGGACAAACTCATCTGTCATCCCTCAGCACCTGTCTACCTTGTTTTTTGAGACAAGTTCTCTCAACTAAACTGGAGCTCACCAAGTAGGTCCCCTGGCCAGGGAACCCCAAGAACCTGTCTGCCTCTGCTTTCCCAGTCCCAGGATTACAGACTACACCACCACACCCAGCTTCCTCATGTAGATTCTGGGGTTGGCACACCAGTCCTCATGCTTGTACAGCATATTCTTTGCCCACTGAACTGTCTCCTCAGCCCTACGTATACATTTTTAAGTGGTTTGCAAATCCCGTAAGGCTCCCCTAAAACTATATGAACCTGTATGTGTTTTTCTAGAAAATTATGTGCTTTTAAATGATTCTGAAGGAGACCTGCAAACCCATCACTAAATCAAAGTAGTTGAGCACTTCCTGGGCTCAGTAGAGGAACTTACATAACCCTGGTGACAGTGCTGCAAGCTCTTCTTTTCTTTCTGGGACTGTTGAGGAGAGAGAGGCTCCAAGTAAAGTGAGTATCCATAGGGAATCCAGCCAACCAGCGCAGAGCTGAGATCTCCCTAGCCTCCATTGGCAGCTTTGGCCTGGAAGCCTTTTGCCACATGCCTGCTTGGTTTGGTGCAGCACACATGCTGGGACCCTCATGCTCAGGTGGCAAGGGCATGCTGAAATTCACCCCTGTCCTCACAACCTCTTTGCATAGATCTCAAGGAGAATGAAGTTCGGGTTTCAGTGCTTTTTTTTTTTTTTTTTTTTTTTTTTTTTCCTGCCAAAAATAGGGGTTGGTTGGCATTAGCCACTTATTTCTTGAGATAGCTGTCTTCCAAGAACAAGTGTTTTGAAGGCCATTCTCCAGGAAAAGACAGGGAACTCTTCAACAAGGTCATTAAAAAGTTATTTTCAAGAAGAAAAACACAATTTTAAATGTTTCTTTTCTACTCCCTTCCTTGACCATGACCCTGCCCTGCTCTGCCTTGAGTTGGAATTCGGCCTCTGTTTTGCACCAATGATTTCATTACACCTGGGATAACTTTGTGGGCAGTCGAGAGGACAGGGAGGTGTCCTCCCTGCACCTGTCCAATGTTGCATGGCTGGGTGCAGCCCAGTCCTGAGACACCGTGCTGGCCTGTGGGACTCCTTCTGGATCACCTCCCTGATTTCCCATAGGCAGTTGCTTATGGAGGGGTGCTAGTACCTGCTTAGGCAGACCCTCACCTGGCCCTTATAAAGCATACCATGCCCCCAGGCAAGTTCAGGAGCAAGCTGTCTTGGTGTTCTAGAGAGAGCATCAGCCAGGTGGGTCCAAAGGGCCACAAAGCATGAGCCACGCTTGGCACCCAGGTTACAGATGAGGGACCCTGTGCCATGTCTGCTTTCTTCATGCCAGTCACCCTGTTCCTCCTTCCAAAACCTTTCTTAGCCCCTAACTGACTTCCCTGACTGTGCTGTGCTTGTCCTTCCTGTCATAGGTGATGGTGCTGTCCACAAGACTCCTGAAGCCACTTAACATTCCTGAGCTGCTCTTTGCCACTGACCGGCTACACCCAGACCTTGGCTTCTGACATCTAAGAGAAGATAGGACCTGTATGAACTGGAAATACCAATACCCATCTGTCACCATTCCAGATATGCCTCCAAATCCAGTGTCTGCATTACTAATTATAGGTATGACTTAATTCGACCAGAGCAGTCTTCATAACCATGCAGAAGGCAGTGTTTGGACTGCCCCCGTTCTTCAAAAGTGAAATAAAGACTTGCGTGTTCATTCTTTTTCTAAAGGTGTCAAGCTGTCTTTAGCTGACTTCACCTACAGGCCCTCATTTAACCTCTCCCCTATTGTAATCTTCCTGGAGCTGCCTGCAAGTCCCTTAGCTCTGGGTAGAAACCTGCCGGCAAGTAGTAGTAGAGATAAGCATTATGGTTTGGAGTTAGTCAAGGGAAGTTAAATGTGCTTAATTTCCTGCTTAAGGAAATGAGTCTTTGTGATTATTAAGTGACAGAGGGATGCCACAGACAGAGCCTGGGATTGTGTTTCTCTCCAACTCCAAGACATTTCTGAAAGACAAGGAAAGGGGGGACAGCCTGACCAGCACTAGCCTGGTGGCCTCCATGAGTGGTAAATCACCTCAGGAGTAACAAAGGGCTGCTTTGTTCCAGCTGGTTCAAGGAGCAGGGCAGCCCTCCACTTGGAACAGCAGTGGGAGGGACAGCGAGGGAGACCAGAGGGCTGTCCCTGATGAAGATGGTTTACTCCTGTCCAGAGGAAGCCCCAAGCAGAAGACATTCCCTCCCAGGGAGTGTAGGCTGGAACCCCAACCCCCAATCTGAAATCTGTGATTTCAGATTCCTACTGAAATAGAAAGCCTTCATCTGAGACCTTACATTTTTTTTTCTGGTCATAACAGAAAAACCCAGACGCATCTAGTGAAATTATATGAGCACTCTAGGGAAAAGGAAAGAAAGAACTGCTTGGAACCCAGACATCACTTATAGGTACATGGCCAGTGGGAGTTCCTGGCAGGAGTAATGGATGTCTGAAATGAGACAAAGCTGAATACAGTTTCTAGTGTGGATTAAGCAGGAAGACAAAATAAAATATAAACCAAGGCATGGCTGTACATCTTACTTCTCTGTTAAATGCTGTCGTTTTAGGGAAGTAGAGAAAAAAAGAACTGTGAATTTAGAATCATTTTGAGATCAATGAAGCTGATTTTCATGAAATAATATGTTCATTTTCACTCCCAAGTGTGCTTTCTATCTTCTCCATTTCTTTAATGGTGCCGAACTATAAGGCAACTCTTTTTTAAATCCCATTAAGGTAAAAGACTTACATTGAATGAGAAAAAATGGCATTAACCTCAAAGAAATATGTATGGAGAGTAAGTACTTTGTAAAATAAAGGAGTTTAAAGTAACCTACCATGTGACTCAAAACTGTTCATTCATCCATTCATTCTCAAATGTTGAATGGGAACCTGCAGAGAACATTTCAGATACTCTGAAGTTCTGAACCAGGCTCATCACAAATCACACACCACCCTGACTCCATGGCACTCACAGATGAGCAAATATCGCCCTAACTCCACGGATGACCAGTTGATGCTGTGCCTTATGCCTGGGTTCCCTGTGGGTTTCTTCTCAAGGTTAAGTTATACATCATATGTCTACATGCAAAGGGAAACTGGAAATACCAAACCAAACTGCTAACCAATAGTTATGTCTGGAAGACACATCAAGGGGAAGGCTACCAAAGGGGGAATCACACCCCATTACTTCTGTACTGTTTCAGTGTTTTACATCAAATGTGTATTTGTGTGTTACTTATGTGAGTTTAATAGTTTATCTTGGCAAATTGTTTCTTACCTAGTAAAGAATGTTCAGAAACTTCTACCTCTATAATAGGATAACATTGCCAGTTATGTTAGCATTCTAGAATGCTCTAGCACTGAAGTAAGTATGGCCATGGCTGGTATATGGGTGAGTAGGAGAAGCGTGAAAAGTTTACTTTGTAATCATCTTCTTCCATCTCGATGGCTGCTGGTTGGAAGAACTGGGCCAAGGAGACAATCAGTGATTGAGGCTTTGGAGACCAGCAAGCTGGAAAAAGTTGGTGATAACTGGAATCTGGTTTGAATAAAAAGACCAAAGAAACAGGAGAGAATCCTGATCCTCCATACTAAACAGCAGGAGCATAATGCAAGTTTGGTTGTTGTCCTGAAAATGGCCATGAACAAATAAGAGAAAGAGGGTGACTTGAGCAATGGAGCACTGTCCTGTGGCAGTATCTTTGGACACTGAATCTGTGCTCATTTCCTAGATGAGGGAGGGATTAAGGAGGATGCTAAGCATATCCCAACTGTGTGAAGGAGCCCATGGGTCAAGGCTCTGGGGTCCTCTCTGACGTTATGTCCCAATGCCACCTCTCAGAGCACCATAGTTTTACAAGCCTGACCAAAATCAATGAAATGGGTAATAATGGAGCCTCCTTCCCAGAGGGCTGCTAGGAAGCCACCTCTAATAGAATGGCTGGTACACGGCTCTAGGAAGTGTGGGTATTAGTCATCAATGAGTTACTTCACAAAATGACAAAGCATCATCAGGAGAATGGTAGTAAATGAATAGAGAATTCAAAGGCCTTTCTGGGGAGAAGAAAAATGAAGAGAAATAAAGTCTTAGTCCAGCCAAGGCCATCTAACCAAGAGGTAGGCCAAGGGCACATTTTTCCATGGCTGGTAGTTCATCTGTCCAGGTCTTTGTTGAACATGAAATTAGATGCAGTAGGCTATAACACACTGGGTTTTAGTGCAAATTGAAAGAGAAGTACTTAGAACATGGCTCATGGTAAGCTGTTCAGTGCTCCCATATTAGCTAGCTCTCTGTCACTGTGAAAAAATATCTGAGAAAATCAACTTGCAGGAGAAAAACTGTCATTTTGGCTCATAGTCCCAGGGGTATCAGTCCACAGTCACTTGGTTCTGATGTTTCTGTGCCCATGTTGAGACAGCGCATCATACATGATAAAGAATATGTAGGAGTGGACACCCATTGTACTTAGGATAGCCAGGGAATGGTGGAGGGGCTAGGGGCAGGGACAAAGTACATACTCTCAGAACCCAGCCCAGTGACCAGCTTCCTCTGCAGAGTCCAATCCTCTAAAGTTCCACCTACCTCCCAGTGTTGCAATAAGTTATTAGTCAATAGATTGATCCATTTATGAAATCAAAGAACTCATGATCCAGTTACCCCCAAGGCCTCTTCTTTTAGCACTACATTGATGACTAAGTTCCCAACCCATGAACCTTTGGAGGATGTTTTAGATCTAAGCATAACAATACCTGAGAATCACTAATTGTGGTAGTTTAAAGAAAAATGGCTCCCAGAAGGGAGTGTCACTATTAGGAGATATGGCTTTGTTGAAGTAGGTGTGGCCTTGTCGGAGGAAGTATGTCACTGTGGGGGCGGGCTTTGAGGTCTCTTTTGCTCAAGCTTTGCTCAGTATGACAGTCTTCTTCCTGTTGCCTGCATAGTCACATATAGCAGCTCCTTCTCCAGCACTATGTCTGCTTGCATGCCGCCATGCTCCCCATCATGATGATAATGGACTAAACCTCTGAAACCGTAAGCTACCACTTCAATTAAATGTTCTCTTTTATAAGAGTTGCCATGGTTATGGTGTCTCTACACAGCAATAGAAAGCCTAAGACACTACTAGTGATGAATGTCAAATGATTGCCTCTGCAAATCCATGTTTCCAATAGAAACTTTTCCATCAGTAATGTTAGCCAGAAAGCAGCTTTGTGTCGTCTGGGGTTGAAAGCCTCATTTACCATTTCCACATTATCCAGATGTATGAATTTTAAAGGGATCTCCCCCATACCCCTTATGGCAGCCACCTGAAGGTGACACAAACGGCCCAGCTGAGGAGCTGAGCGATAATGACTCTCATGTCTAGGTATATTTACCACCCGAACCATGCTGGCCAAAGCAGGCATACACAGGCCAATCTCCTACCACAGGCCTTGCAGCCACTTCTTATAGACACAAATTAAAATCCTAGTAAATACTTTGTGATGACTGAGGTCTGCTCTTTTCGGAGCCCTGTCCCACAAGCATAGGGCACAAGCAGAGTGTTTGGAAGTCCATGCAGAGGGGTCAGGCCCTATACAGATATCTGTTTGTACCAGGGTCTCTACAGTTACACTGATATTTCCGTAACAAATAATTCCATACCCCCACCACCACTATTGTTTCTTCCTACCCTGGTTACCAGAAACAGCATGTCAACAACAAATAATCCAACATTACAAATGTTGTCTGTTGGCTTGCCCAAGAAACATAAAAAAAAAAAAAAAAAAAAAAAAAAAACTCCATCTCTGCTTTGAAAGGAACTTCAGAAAACCATATGGTGGAGGGCTTGCAGACCATTCCAGAAGGAGAGGGAGAGGTGTGGTGTCTCTCCCCCCCCCCACTCTAGCTAATAACTCTAATCCTATTCTCTTCTCTGATTCAGGAATTGATGAAGGCAGTAAGAACCTGCTGAAACCATCCCTTTAGACTTCCAGAGTTAAACCCAGACAGCTTTCTGGGTTCTTTATTGTAAACAGGCAAGTGCCCCCCTGCTAGGCTATTCCCGGGAGGTTCTGGGAGCTCCCACAGCTGGGCATTTGCCATCTCCACTCTGCTAAGCAAGATCATAGTGTGCCATTGTGGGGGTCTGCCCACAATTTGTTCCCTTGCCCAGAAAACAGATTTGTTTTTTTCCTCTTAGGGTAAAAGACCAATGCTGAAATCTCTTTTTTTATTTTCATAAATAAAGGGGCTCTCTATAAACATAGTCATAGCCCCTAAAACTCGGGGTTCTGAGCTGCCAGACAGGCAACCCTCCTGGAGTTGGATGAGGACGGAAGGCAGTTTCGCAGCCTCTCTCCCAACCTCCCCTGCTGCTATACAGCAGGGCCAGGCCCATCCTGCGGCTGCAAATGGTTTTGATTTGAAGCTGGGAGGAAACTAGAAAGCCAGACATCATGACAGACATGGGTTGGGCTCTGAGACAGACCGGCTGGGAGGCAGCCCCTCCAACCTGGACGTCTTTATTACTGAGGGGGCTGGAGGCCAAAGCAACCAGCAGCCTCTGGCTAATGGCAACAGCAGATGTGGTCCTATTGCCAGGAGCCCTGGGGCCAGGCAGTAACCCAGTCGGTAGCAAAAAGGGAGGTGGAGGAAGATGGGGTAGTGGGGCCAGGAAGGTAGGCTGGTCAGGAGAAAGCTCAGAGCAGCAGCTGAGTGACAACAACAAGCTTTAGCATCAGAATGGCTTAGGGTGGGGACCAGGATCAGCTTCTTGAGAGCCGAGCCAGTTGCTTCCTTCCCTGTTTAGGATGCTAAAGAGAGATAGATGGTGGAGTTAGTGTGGAGTTAGAATATCCTTGTTTCAGACATCTGTTGCTGGTGCCCAGACAGTCAGTAAATGAACTAGAGTGCTGTTACTGTCTGGCCCCAAGCTAACAGAATCTCTAGGCCTTAGTTTCCTCATCTTAAATAGGAGTCATAGAGCCTCCCTCTGGAGTTTCCCAAAGATTAAAGAGCATGTGTAATCTGGTGTGTTGTAAATAGTCAATAAACTTTCATCCCTCTCCTCCTCTGCAACAGGCTCATACCTACCCCTGCCTGGTGGGAGATGAGCCTGTTTCTCAGCCAGAGTTTGTAGACATCAAGTGGGGGAGGGTAAGTGGAGAGATACTAGTATTGAGACGGATGAGATTAGTGAAACATTGTGCCAAACGTAGGCTGAGAACACTGCGTCTAGAACTGTGAAAAGTCATCCACCTGAGCCAATGGTTTCCATCAGAGATGTATTGTTGTTCTTGTATTCTCCCTCTCCCGTCTCCACTTCATCCTTTTGTAGCCAAAGAGCCTTCGTAGCTGAAAGACCTACTTAGGCGAAGTGAGTGTGCAGTCATTAGTGCCAAGGGTAGGAGATGAGAAGGTGCAGGCACCTAGACTGCAAGGAGACTGGCCAGAGCCCTACAGAGATGCCCTTGAATGAGCCGTGAGAAAGAGGAGACAGGTGGCAGTAAGAGTGGAGGCTAGCTCCACTCACCGCTTGTGCTACAAAAATCTACCCCCACAAACCTCCTTGACTCCAGTTTCAGAGGATGGGTGTGCCCAGGGGCAGTGTGCAAAGATGAACTGTTTGCTCACTGGGCATTGCTAACAATCACAGAAGAGGAAGATTGAGTAGAATATAGATACCTGCCTCCGCTCTTGAACTGAATCCATCTTCTGTGAACACCATTCCCCACCCTGCTGCCAACACACACCCTTCCCAGAGGTGAGGTGAGGTTAGGTTTGAAGAGCTTTTTAAAAATCAGCTCTCTATATAACAAAACATAAATGTCAGAATGTCACTGTCAAGAGCAGTCAGATGCTCCCCTGGGAAAATGAGTTTAAATAGCCCAGCCCTGTATCTTAGCAGACTCCCTACACATCCTACTACTGTACCTCTGTGGCAGTATGCAAATCTTATATAGGAAGCATGATAAAGAAATATCATTGAATCCTCAGAAGACACTGAACTCTTTTATGCGAGCTTGAGGACATCACTCATTTGTGAAATCTTGCTAGGTCCTCCTCACAAGGTTATCTGGAGGGTTAGCCAAGAAAACTACAGAACGTGCTACCCAGATGGAAGGACAATGCCCTGCCCACTGAGATGGAGACTCGTTGAGTTTGCATGAAAGGCCTTCCAGGCTCAAATGGCAGCAGAAGAGAGAGGCCTGGCAGCTGTGGCACACACGTATGACAATAGCTCCATGGGACAGCTCCTGAATAGCTCCAAATCAATGGTTGTAAGCTCTTACTGTGACACTAAAGTATAGTTTGGGGACACAGTATGCCCCCAAAAAAGCTTTATTAAGCACATCACACATGAAGCAGCACTGATTTGTGGTGAAGCATGCTTGCCCTCAGTAGCTCTGTTGAGAAGTGCACACAGTCTTAGGTCTACCCAGAGGACCATGAAGAAAATGAGGAGACATGCAACTCTGGAACAAAAGGCCAAATCACAATCAACAGTGCTTGTAGGTTGTAGCCCTCGAGTCATTGAACTTGTTCTGCAAGGCTGTTTTGTAATGTGCAAAATGTGGGTAATAAAATGTACCCCACTGGTCACATGTTGTGAGGCATAAGAGATCGCACCTGGAGGACACATCCCTTGACTCAACATGCTCAATAAACGCAGACTTTCTGGAGGACAGAAGGTAAACATTTCAATAAAGCCCCAGTCAGATGGCTGCTCTTATCAAATGAGAGATTTATTGTACATAAAATAAATTAATTACAGTTTGAGCCAAAGCAAGAATGGCTCCTTAAAGTGCATTTGTGTAGGGGATTTGGCAGCTAGGCCTACATCTCGTCACTCCATAAGACAGCATTTCATTATCTCAGCCACCCATAGCCACGACTCAGCCAGGCCCAAGAAGCAACCCAACGTCATTGCCATGAGTCATTTACACAAACCACACCAACATCAACTAACACTTTTTTCTGTACCTGATGCCAGTTTAAAAAAAAAAAAAAAAAAAAGCAAACAAAAAACTGTAAACTGTCACGATTGGGCAGTCCAGAGTTGAGTTTTTCACAGCTACTCAATATATGTAGCCATCCTGCATCAGGAGATCAAGCACCTTCTTGTAGACCACAGCTCAAGACTGTCTGTATAAAGAATATTTTGCCCTAGAATTTGACCTTTATGGGGTGGGGAGGGTCCCTCCTTGTTCTTAAAGAAATCTGGGTATCCTTCAAGTCAGAAAGGCATCCTGTAAAGATAGTATATTGGAGACATTGAGAAAGGCAAACCTTCCTCTTGAGAGAAAAAAAAAAAAAATGGAGACGGGAGAAAAAGCCTGTGAATGCTTCCTCAGTTCTTTCACACCCACCCTAATTCACATCAATTTATTCGGTGAAACTGACTACCATTTCTAAGGCAGTGAGAAACAAAAACATGCCCCATGGCAGAAAAGTCACATATCCGTCCATCTGTTCTCGGGCTCCAAACACTTCGTTTTTGCAGAATTCCACAGGCTCCTAAGGCCCCTCTGCTGCAGCCCTTTCCGGAACCATGAACTGCCATCAGCCTGCAACGGTCCTGCTTAAGAACCTCAGGCCCTCTGCCCAGAAGACCAAACCCCCTCCAGGAGTCACGCTTCACACAGATGTGACAGTCCTCACTTTGGCAGACAGAGCTTGCTTAAACCTCCTTTTCAGGTCCTGCATGTTGGGTGACTTAGGTCTGGGAATGAGGGAGGTCCTGCGCTTCTCGGGTGTGCTGCTGGGCTGCTGTTTGTGGCTCACTTCTTTGCAAAGGACATGGAAGGCATTGTAGACATCGTTATAGTTTTCGCTGACAGATACTTCATAGAAGGAGCAACCCAGCATGCCGGCTAGTTGCAGTCCAAGCTGAGGGTCAACCTGCTTGATGTGTAACAGGTCAGCTTTGTTGGCCACAACCACCACAGGCAGCCGAGTGCCCAGGTGAAGCTGCTGGACGTGCTGGTGGAGCTGGCCAATGAGTTCATAGCTCTTGTGGTCGGTGATGGAGAAAACAATGACGACGGCATCTGCCCAGCGAATGCAGCGATTCAGCTGCTCGTTGCAGCTCAAGCCATTCTCGTGTACCTGAAGAGACAGGGAGAACAAGGTGAACAGTGAGTGCTGCACAGAGCTGCAGCTCAATCAGACCTTAATTCAAAAGAACCCTTCCTAGTGATGATGGCGGTTATGGGTCATAAACAAGTTCTATCCCCACACACCAGCTTTCTTGACAATATGTTGATCCAGCTGCTCGGAGTTGGAATAAATAACAGGGCAACTTCACCACACTCAAGTGGAAAATGGACCTGCAGAGAACTCCACGCAGAGAGACTTTGTAGTTGCACAAAATGGGAAATTAACTGGCTAGACAGTAAGTCTGGTGAAGTAAAGATAGGAGCTGGAAGCATTTAAACCTGGATAACTGCCCAGTGTAGGACGGGGAAGGAGAAAAAAAAAAAAAATACTAGCAGAGCTCTTTTGTCTACAGAGAAACTTTCCACAACATAAAAGTGATTCTGGGTGTTGGAGACTGGACCCACATATTTGGTTTTTAATGCCAAAAGCACATACATAAAAACAGAAGAAAGGAAACACTGCCAATTCTAAGTGTTGATTTGCTGCCCCCACCCCTCCCGCTCTCCACTGAGGAAGGGCTCTGCCCTTCACCCAATCTCCCAAACTAAGCCAGGCCAAGGTTGACCAGCAGCCAGATACAATTAAACTGTCAAACAACAGTAAAGTCTAGACCTCGCTCCCCACAGCCTGTCTTCCAATTGATGAACTAGGGAACAATTCCATGGCCACTGGTCTCCCCTTTGACCCACTCAGCAGCACAGTGTCTCACCTGGACGCCTGGAGTGTCCTGGACTTGAATTGCCAGGGTTTCTCCCTCTATCTGGACTTGTCTGGTATACAGATTACCTATGAAGGCAAAGAAAAGAGATCATGTTCCTCCTTCATGTGCAGCCTTATGAAATGTGGGTTTTTATTTATGCAATACAGCTTGCACCAACACACACACACACACACACACACACACACACACACACACACACACACACACACGATGTAGTTCACTTCCATTTAATGGATTTACTTCAGCTCTTGTTTAAAGGCCAGCTGCAATTTTAACCCTATGCTAGTAGATTTATCAAAAGTAGGTCAAAGTTTGTGGGTTTTTAGAAACTTGCTGGTCTAATTTTAAACTGAGTTTCCATATTTAGAATATTTCCTTGAAGCAAATTTTCTGGCTCAGTATTGTAGGGTTTATTTTTATTTTAGTGCATTACCATTCTCTAAACAGTCATATTTTGTCCACTGGCTATAATAGATTCATAGGCAACTATGGTTAGTAAATGCATAGTTAATATCCCTGGCATAAAAATTTGACTTGATGATCAACTCTGTATCAAAGCAGAAGGCTGCCATATCTTATCTTAGGATGGCTTATGGCTCATTTCACTTAATCCCCAACAGGTTCTCCCTACAGTCTACTTAGTCAAGCAATTTGCTAGCAGGTCACAGAAAAGTACCAAAGCCTCCTGGGACAGTTATTTTCAATCACGGAGAGTAAATTACTTGTCTTCTCATTATTCAGGAGCTCTCCCTTCTAAAATCCTCAGCTAGTTATTTTTCTTTGTTAAGGAAAAGAACTTTAGGTTTACAACTACCCTCTTTTGGCCTTTGCTTTTAAAGGTCACCCCTGAAAGGCAGCCAGCAGTGGGAGAGGGTGGGGGTGGAGCTGGTCAGCGGGGGTTGGGGTGGTTTGGTTGGGTTTTTTTGTTTGGTTGGTTGGTTGTTTTTGTTTTTGATGACTTTTGCAGGCATGTTTTAAAGGAAAAGGCCCCGAATTACAAAGGGTGCTTCCAACTAGGGTCCCTATAGCCAAAGCATACCACTGGGAATACTTTCGGGCACTTGATAAAATGATGAATGGGCCTGGAATGGAATGAGGCCAGATGGCAGCTGGGGGGTGGGGGGTGGTGTCGTGCAGAATTGGAAGTGGCAGAACCCTGATGCTCACACTGTCACTCAGAAGGAAGTGTCCTCGAAGGCACTGAGAAATGAGTGCAGCAATCCCAACAGGCTTTTTCTCAGTGTATTTCCTCACCTGCATTTCGCTCATAGTCTCCGATGAATCGTTTAGTGAGGAACCGGACCACCAAAGCTGCGGCGGAGAAACGAGAACAAGTTAACCCGCTAAGTTAGATGGGTCTCCGCCCCGCCCCCATCTGGAACCCAACTCTTCCAAAGAAAGTCACAGCCGGCCACCGAGGGAAATTCCTACCCCGTAGCTCCTTGACCCCTCTGCCAGACACTAGGGGGTAGAAGCCGGGTGAATTACGACTCTGCCAGCGGGGAGGGTCTTGTGGACCAGCCCTTCCTTAGAGCCCGGCTGGGCCACACCTAAGCCTTCCAGCAGGCGAATGTCTTCCTAACCTTACGGAACTCCAGAAGAGATTACAGTCACTAACCGTTCTGTCCCAGACCCTGCCAGAGGCTCAAAACCCTTAAGTTCTACTCCGGCTCGAAAGCCGGTGGGAACTGTGGACCCCAGTGGCCCTCTTATGTTGAACCAGGGGCATGAAGGAGTAGATGATTCCGCTGCAACGACCACCTCTCCCCTCTCCAGTCCGGGCGTGGGGGGGGGTGTCTCCCATGTCCCTCCCCACAACCAAGTGGGTCCCTCGCTTGGACTCACCGGTCTTGCCCACGCCGCTGGCCCCCACCACGGCGATCTTGACGAGCCGGCGGCCCGCAGCCCCCAGGCAGTAGTCGGCAGCGGCGCTGCCCGGGGCGGGGTACTCGGCGATGGTGCACATGTTCTGGATGAGGCGCATCGCCGCTGCGGCCGAGCTGCACCACGCCGGGAGGGAAGTGAGAACAGGAGCGGCTCGCGCGGAGAGGGTGACCCGGTCCGACGCCGCGAGTCCCGGGCGTCCTTCTCGAGGCCCCGCCTTCGGGCTGCACAGAGAAGCTGCGCCCCCAATGGAGCCGAGAGCGAGTGCGGGGCCCCGTGAGACCGGAGGAAAACAGGGCGTCCGGCGCGAGGGCTGCAACGTGCGGGATCCAGGCGGCTCCCGCTGCGCTAGCACGCGGCCCCAGCTGTGGCTGCGGGTTTACGGGGTCTCAAATCCGCGTGGAAGCTCTGCCCGTCTCTGCCGCGTCTTAGATCCGCGTGAGAGACCTGTCCGTGGCTTCTGGGTCTCAAGTCCGGGTGGGGAAATCTGTCTGTGCCTACGAGGTCTCGGATGCTCGTAGGAGACCTGTCATATCTGCCCGGTCTCAGATACGCGATGGGTATAGGGACACCTATCCTTGTCTGCCCATCTCGCCGCCGGGTCTTACTAGGGCATTTTCTGGGTTGGATCCTGGGTCTCCTAGCCTGCTTCTAACTGATTTCTCCACCTCTTGAGGCTAAGGAACCTTCCAGGGAAACCGACCGGCCTATGGCCACTACCCAGTCCTCTGCTCATACGCTGGGGACGTTGCTTTCTCTTACTTGGCTACATCCAAAGTATTGTCCTGGATTGTACATTATCCCATCATTGTATCCATAAACAAGGACACTCCACCCTGCCACAAAACGTGGCATTTGTCTTTGGGGCAAAATAATCCATTTTGCTCTAGTTCTTGCGGACAGTGCATGCTCACGAGAACACACACACCGCAGAAAGCAAGTGCTGCACCCCCAGAGGCAAAACCAAACCAAATGTCGCTAGAATAAGCTTGTACCTCTCACCCAGTCACATCTCCTCCCCCGGAGCTGTGAAATGGTAAGAAAACAGTCATTGTAGCTGTGGATGGGGCTCATTGGGAGGCAGAAGGGCCCTTCATTTAATCTGGTCATAAGGCAAGGGTTAGTTTAAAGTGGCTTGATGCCAAGGAAAATGTGGGGCCCAGCATTCATAAAATGTCTAGCACCCCAGTGTTGTCATCAGAGAAAAGCATCGTCAAAGGATGGCCAAATCCCAGCTTCAGCAACCTTCTAGACCTTATCACAGCCACCACCGCATTACAACCCCCAGGCCCTTTTATCTTGGTGCCTAAGACAGCAAAGCCTGTGACTTTTGTAGACCCCTTATTAAAGGTAGAAATGCAAAAGAGGTGGATGCCAGTATCTACACCATTTCCTATTTAATCACCTTCCATTCTGGACTTTATTCGCCAGGTATTTGAGTGGAATTTACCACCTTACTCTGGGCAGATTGCGATGAACTCTATTAACAGTTTGAAAGGCTGAAGGAAATAGAAAGATATTATTGACCTGTCTTGATAAGTCTTCTAGGGCAAACAGCATACTCAGTGGGGCTCACAGGCCAAGCAATAACTGTAAAAGCCTGCCTTCTAGGCAGAACACTGGACTGAAGTAAGGTCAGCCCTGTGCGTTAGGGAGAAGAGGGCATGTCCAATTTGCATCATGTCTTTCTGTGTGGTTTAAACTTGAGTTTTGCCAGTCTATAAAATCAAACTTAGCAAAGCTATAATTACAAGTAGCATATACCTTTCAACCCTTGGTCTCCCTAGCCTGCAATTCTATAGTGTTTACATAGGAAATAATTACGTAGTCTACAGCATTTGTTAGGCTGCTTTTTGCACACACACAAACATGATAAAAAGTTCTCAAAGGGAATTTTGCTTTGAATCATTTTAGCTTCTGATGTTTCATTTTCATTACCACGAGACTAACCAAACCTGTGATTTTTCTGTCTGCATCATGGAGGCTGAACTTAGTATTCTTACTTTAAGTCAAAATTAACTGACTGTACTTAAAACACACCTAGAGAAAAGAAAGTTGAGGAAAATAACAAAAAGAAAGGTATGTTAGTTAAGAGATGTATCCCCAGTAGCCCCCACCTGCATCTGGTTAACCTCAGATAATAGCATTTAGTTATCACTTCTTGGAAATCCAAATGGGAGGGGGGAACAGGGGGAGAGTTGGGCATAGCTCAGGCTGCCTCAGAACACGTGATTTCTCATAAGTGAGTACTCCTAAGACAGGAAACAGAAGCCAATCCCTTAAAACTTCTCTATGGAATTGGCAAAGCACTGCTCTACTGCTAACAGCCTAGCACACAGAACCCACCCAAACCAAAGTGGGAAGAGGACTCGAATCGCTTCCACCTGTAGATGGAAATAGTGCCAAAGAATCTGTGCCCATCTTCCTTTAAAATCAAGAGAACAGAGCTTCACATACATCTTCACAAAGATCATACAGCCCATAGTGGACAGTTCCACAAGTCTGAAGGTAATCAGTGCTATTTGAAACCAATTAAATGAGGACTAGGGAGGTTTCTCAGTTGGTAATGAAGACCGGAAGAGCTCCATCTTGGGGCTTGCTGGCCAGACAGTCTAACAGAATCAGCTCTATGTTCCATGCAAAATTTATTTCTTGAAAAATGAGATGGTGAATGATTGAGGTAGACACCTCCATGGGGTCGCTCAAACACATGGGTGTGCTCCCAGCCACATGCATCTGCACGTAAATACATGTCACAAATAGCCAGAAGATGATATGTGATGTGCTCACACTCTCTGCCTCCCTCTCCATCTCTCATCTCTGTCTCCCTCCCTCTGACCCCTCTCCTTTCTTAAATAAAGATAAGAGGATGGAAGATTAAAATATGAGGGATTGGGGGAGTAAAGACAGAAATATTTTTGCTACGTTTTGATTTTGCCTCAGCATCTGGAGTTCCTCTTTGATCTTTAAAGTCAATCTTTGATCTGAGAGCTTCCAGAGATAATTTGGTGTCTGGAAGTCTTTAGGATCCCAGAATGTAAATTTAATAAATATTTACTTAACATCTGTGCTGGGGGTGGGGTCTACTCTGGTGACTTCAGTTACGTTAAGCATTGGAAACAGGAGATGTGGCCAAGTGATCCCAATGCAATGTGAAAAATGCCATGATAGAAGAAACTCCTGTGTTATAGGAGCACATAGTAGGACTAAGGACCTAGACTAGGAAGAGGTTCTAGTTAAGGAATGGCAGGGCTAGATAGTTGCACAGCTGTGTGTTGTGTGTGTGCATGCATGTATATGTGTGTGTAAGGATGGGGGGAGCTAGTTCGGAAGCAGCATTTGCCCCTAGACAGAGGGAGCTGGGAAATATCTGTAGGCTGTGAAATGAAGGAACAGGAGCATAAGACAAAGGGCTCACTCCAGTGAGGAGAACTAATGATGGACAGAGATTCGGGAGGAAGAAAACAGGGCACAGGAGGATTCCAAGGACACACAAGTTGTTAGAATCAGAAAACCAATGTGGTCCCTTCTTCCGGGAGAACATGTCCATGGGAGCCAGATGAGTACTACTCTGCCCTTATCTCCAAGGGTTGCTTCCTAATTGGTGTGTGTCAAAGTACATAGGCTTTTGCCAAGTTGTATTTTTATTTAGTTATTTATTTTGAGGCTTATTCCAACCCCACCGTCTATGGTGATCCAGCAAACATCTTTGGCTATTGTAAGCAAATCATGATTTAACAAATGAGAGAGATAAAGCCACAGCACTCAGGACTGAACCTACAATATCTTTCCTCTCTTCCTAGATTGCTCCCCCCTTCCTCCTCTGTCTCTCTTCCTCTCTTATTGTAAATCTAAAGCTACTTAAAAAGAAAAGAAAGAAAATCTAGGGAGGTGAACACAGTAAAGACAGGTGACCTATGAATGAAAATGCCTGGGGTGGGGAAGCCTGGAGAGATGGCTTAATGGTTATGAGCACTGGTTGCTCTTCCAATGGAAGCTCACAATTGTCTGTAACTTCAGTTCCAAGGGAACTGAACAAAACCCCAAAGCACATAAAATAAAAATAAACAAATAAACAAATTACTTTTTTAAAAAAGAAAATTACTTTATGACTCCCATCCCTGTGTACAGTGGAGTATAACCAATAACAAATAAATAAAATGAAAAGTAAAGCCATCACAAAGGAACCCAGAAAGTCTATTTTTCCTTTGCCCATTGCATAATGTCCCCTCTGAGAAATTTTCCAGCTTAATCTCTAGAGTTCTAAATCTTCCCGACACTCACAATGGCATGTCCACACTGACCTGGTACCTTCTCTCCTGTAGCCTCCTCCTAGAAAGACAAACTTTGGCATGCTCTCCAACTTTCCAAATGTCTGGCCAGTTTGGGCTTTCATTACCAAATTATTTGTGAAATAATGCAACCCAGGAATGGTGGCTGTCTGCTACAAGGAATCCTGAAAAAACAGCAAGTGTGTCTCCAGCACTAGGATTGGGGCAGCATGCTTTGCAACCAGTTTATATATTCAGACGTTTTAACTCACCATGGCTCAGAAACAGTCCCTGGCTTAAGGAGGCCAGAAAAGGTCAGAAAGTTTATTCTGCCACGTTGAAGCTTCTGGGAAATGTTTGGGTAAGCAAATAGGGACAGGACAGACAATGAATTGAGACAGGAAGCTTTGACCCAGTGATGCCACAAAGTGCGTGCAGGTGCATACAGGCCTGTGCAGTCCACCCTGAAGAGCTACTCTGGCACACAGTGAGGTATCAATGGGGATTTTCCCCTTTAAAACCCTCACCTTCCTTTTGATTTAATCACAAGTGAAAGACAGCCAGAATCCCTAGAGTGAAAAAACAAAGTAGAGACAAAGGCGAAGGGAAGTTTGATTACATAAAAGGAGACACTCCCCTGCATGCATGCACACGCACACACATGTGTGTCTTGTCTCATAAAACTAACTTTGAAAAAACTAGAGTCCTAAATTCTAGGCAGTAGGACTGGCCTCAAGGAGGCTCTTCCCGCCCCTCATACCTAGGTTGGTTTCTATGGCAGCAGAATGAGCCGAATTTTCCTCTTTAAAGAGTGTTCTATGACTCCTGT